ACACACACACACACACACACACACACACACACACACACACACACACACAAGAATGAGTAAATGTTTTATAAAGCTTAACATGTTCTAGTCCATGTGCCATTTGCCAGGCAGGTCATAAGAGCTCCAACTCACTTCGGATGTGGGATTCTGCGCAGTAAAGCATGTCAGCAGCATGAATAAACTGGTATCCTGAGCCTTTTGTGCACAGCTCTACTTCTGTGTAGCCCAGAACAAGCTGTCCTCTGTTTAAAAAAGCATCACATTGTAACAGAATCACGACAGTCACCGGCTATACATTATTCCTACAAACAGTGTAGCTGACATTCAAAGTTTTCACATTAGTACATAGAAAACATCCCTTTTAACTTTAATTTATTTTCTTACTTCTAGCTATGAATTTGCAGTGTTAGCCTATTTTATACTTTTGAATAAGGCCCTTAAAATTAGGATGGTCAAAAATGAATCCAGCAGAGTTAACTGTAAAAGTAAAGCAAATTCTAAAACTAAAACCATGGAGTGCTCAGACTGAGTTCAGAGAGCGTCTGCTAAGTCACTGCCCTGCATCCTCCCTTAGGAAAGAGACAATTAAAATGCTTTGATATAAATTCTTGTTAGTTAACTAATTAACTTTAGATAGTGATTTCATTTCTAAATCTAAAAATTAAATAATATTTTTTACAAAATGTAAGATAAACCAATGTCCTAAGAATAAGTCTTATACCATGATAAATACAAAATAATACGATTATTGTCAGATTTATGAAATTACCTTATTTTAGTAGGCTATCCTGAAAGAAAATGAATAATTGCTAACATAGTCGCAAATATCAATTAGAACCTAAGTCAAACGTTCCACACAGTAATGGAACTGCTAAAATAAAGTACACATTTCATGAAATAAGAGTGAAAAAGTTTCCCTTACTTGGCATCACAACCAATAGGTGTGAAGTCCAGTTTGTGTTTGGTCCTGAAGATGAAGTTTTTGGTTCGAATCTCCAGGATGGACGGTGGCTGAAGCGGGGTAGCTATGGCAAACAAAGCCAGCTGTGGGGGAAGTAGGGCGCCATCCTTCCCTTTCTTGTTCTGTCCATGGAGATACTTTAGCCTCCCTTGGAAATTCATTGCCTTTAAAAAGTCGTGAAAATTAACAGTGTGGAGCAGTGTCATTTTCAAAGTTTCCATTATGGCTCCTCTGGGGTGCTTGGTACTGGAGGGCGGCTCCCAGGGCTTAGAACTGCTACCCTTTCCACTCTGCTCTCTACACCGCCGAGGGAAGAACCCTTGCCCCAGCATCATGACAGGAGAGCCCTGTCCTCTTTGTGCCTGAGACCACCTGACCGGTTTCACCCTCCTCGGCTCTCTGCACACCAGGCACTCAATACGTATCTTAAAGGAAAGAGGGGTGATCAAGTCACATTGTGCATATTAATTTTCAAACTTTCATGATCTACATGCCATAGCTTGCCATAATCTTTCCTGAGGAAAAAAATACAATTCTATTAAAACAGTAGAATGAACCTTATAAAACTGTATAAATGCAGAAATCAAAGATAAAGAATGATTTCAGAAGACAGAGGCCAAAGAGAATTTCAACACGGGTGTGATAAATTTAGCTGGCCTAGGAGCCCGTGGGACTCTCGAACACACTGCTGATACAGCAGCACATGGTAGAAGAAACCCTTTGCACACAGAAATCTCATCTAACCCCGCTAACCGATCTTAGCCACCTCAGTACACAGCTCTAACTCCAGGTCAGCAAAAACAATTCTAAAGCACAATACACTAGCAAAATGCACTGATTTGTGATGCTTAACTTAAGATGTAACCCCTATTGGCCTGTGGCTGGAGATCATGCTACTGTCTGGACCCTGCCAGGTGCTCCCCAGGGCTACCTCTTGTAGCAGCATTCCCATCAGATGGTAACTCCGAACCACAAATATGAGCATTTTATTTGCACTTATCCCAGACACAGATACATCTATGCATTTCCTGTGTGGATTACATACAAGCCCCAAATGCTAGGCATCCTATTGAAGAGTGGCTAGCTAATTCTTAGACTTAAAAATTGTTTCAAAACACTCAAAGTACAAGTTCCATGCTATGCCACTCAATTTCTACAGCTTCATCTTAAATGATAGGGTTTTATGAGCTACAGAAGAACCCCCCCCAACCTATGAGCTACAGAAGAACCCCACAACCCAAAATACTAATTTGTGTGTGTATGCATATGTGGTGTGGGTTTGTGGTGTGTGTGTGTGTGTGTGTGTGTGTATGCATGTGGATGAGTACATATGTGTTTGTGGTGTTTGGGTATAATCTTCCAGGATGCTCCAGCTTTTTCCTTTCATCTACTGAATTACAGGTACAGATCACCACACCAGGCTTTTACATGGATTCTTGGGGTCCAAATCAGATCCTCGTTCTTGCAAAGCAAACATTTTACCAACTGAGCTTTTTACTGGCCCTGAAATGTTAAATTTTCATGGTTGTTTTCTTTCATCATACTAAGTCATTTCAAAAGCCAGTATTTTAAGATTTTGCACCTCACCAGAAAACCAGATGAATTATCCAGGAGACACCTCAGGCGGCACACGAAGCACCTCTCCATGAAAGAAACGTTCTCTGGAGGAAGCTGGTCTGCCTTGAAATAGACTGCCGGCGGTTGTGGGAGGCCATGAGCTTCTGTAGAAACGAAACAGCAGTCTACCTTACATGTGCTGTAAAACTACGATTTTGTATAGTTAAAACTGTGACACATTTTAAACTCGAGTCTGTATTTGGAATTCAAAGTACCATTTCAAAACTAATTCAAAAGCCCAAACTTATTAACACATCCATCCTGGAGAATTTGACATATTTCTTATTCGTATTTCTGAGCCACTCCTGTCAACTATGTCTGCATTTCTACCAGTGGTTTTCTTTGCCTGCCAGCTGCACAGCTATCTTAAAACAACGCTGGCATCAGGAAAACCCTTCTATTCTTGCACAGCCTGTGTATGTTTTTATGGGTACATTTTGGTAAGGATGATTTTCACCCTTCAGCCACACCCCTGTATATTCCTCCATCTTTCACGTGGTACCACAGTTAGTTTTATAAAACACAGCACTGCTTTGGGCTCGGTCATAGCTCAATTGGTAAAGGGCTTACAATGCAAGCATGGCACTGAGTTTGATCCCTAGAACCCATGTCAAGAAAGGCCAAGCACAGGGGCACATGCTTGTAATCTCAGTGATGGGGAGGTGCGGACAGCAGGGTCCCTGTGGCTTCCATCAGCCTAGACTTCTTGGTGACCTCCAGGCCAATGCAGGATCTTGTTTAAAAATAAGACGGAGGGCGTACAAAGAATGACACCCAGTGTTGGTGACCTTTGGCTTCCACACACGTACCCACAAGTGGGCACAGACACACACACTGCTGACACACGTACCCACAAGTGGGCACAGACACACACACTGCTGGCACACGTACGTACCCACAAGTGGGCACACACACACACACTGCTGGCACATGTACCCACAAGTGGGCACAGACACACACACTACTGACACACGTACCCACAAGTGGGCACAGACACACACACTGCTGACATATGTACTCACAAGTGGGCACAGACACACACACTGCTGGCACACGTACCCACAAGTGGGCACAGACACACACACTGCTGACACACGTACCCACAAGTGGGCACAGACACACACACTGCTGACATATGTACCCACAAGTGGGCACAGACACACACACTGCTGACACATGTACCCACAAGTGGGCACAGACACACACACTGCTGGCACATGTACCCACAAGTGGGCACAGACACACACACTGCTGGCACATGTACCCACAAGTGGGCACAGACACACACACTGCTGACACACGTACCCACAAGTG